GATCTAAATGGGTTGAAGAGTTCAAGCAATAGGCATGTTACATGAGACAACTATCTTGAGAATGGCTGAACATATCGAGCTGTCCTCTGATAAGTTTTCTTCAAAACCCTTGTAAGGTGGTTTTCTAGAAAATCAGAAACCTGGTTTTTCAGTACCAAGAACTTTCAAAGCAGTTTTGTTTTAACAACGTAAAATGATAGAGCAGCCAATTCTCTACAAAATGAAGCATCTCCGAGCTCTCTACGACACTTTTTGGCCGAGCTGTATCAATTTTACGGACGACCTAAAAGTCTTTTTTTTCGGTTTTTCATAGAGAATCGCAAAAAAAACGACGTTTAGGTCTTCTGTAAAGTTGATACAGCTCGGCAAAAAACCATCTTGGAGAGCTCGGAGATGTCTCATTTTGCAGAGAATTGGCTGCTCTATCATTCTACGTTGTTAAAACAAGACTGTTTTGAAAGTTCTTGGTACTGAAAAACCAGGTTTCGGGTTTTCTAGAAAACCACCTTACAAGGGTTTTGAAGAAAACTTATCAGAGGACAGCTCGATATGTTCAGCCATTCTCAAGCTAGTTTTCTCATGTAACATGCCTATTGAGAATAAAAATTCTACGTCAGATTAGCCTTCTAAAAATATTAGTTTTTCATTTTAGACTGGAACATTTTCATTGAAAAATATTGTCTTTGATGCACATCCTGGAGATCTTATATGTATTATTGGTCCAGTTGGATCTGGAAAAGTTTGTTCGCACATTTTTATTTTTATTTTAAATAAGATCTTTTCTCAAAAAAAATATTTTTAGAGTTCTCTTTTACAAACATTAACAGGTGAAATAGCTCATTTTGATGGTAAAGTTCGATTAAATGGATCATATTGTTATGTTCCACAAGAACCATGTAAATAGTTTTGAGAGAAATAATTGTGTAATGAATATTTATTATTTAAGGGATATTTTCATCATCAATCAAAAATAATATTCTTTTTGGTAAAGAATATGATCAAAAATTATTTCAACGTATTATTAATGTTACTGCATTGGATACAGTAAATTAATTGAAAATATCTTTCTAATAATACTTATATATTATAATTTATTACATAGGATGTAATGCAATGGTCACATGGTATAAATACTCTTGTTGGTGATCAAGGTATTATGTTGTCTGGTGTAAGAAAAGAAGAATAGTTCATAAAAATAAAAAGTACAATCTTATCATCTATTTAATATATAGGGTCAAAAAGCAAGAGTAAATATGGCAAGATCATTGTATCATGATGCTGATATCTATTTATTAGATGATCCACTTTCTGCTGTTGATGCTAAAGTATCAAAACATCTTTTTGATAAGTAAATAAAATAGATAAGAATATGTGAAATGAATATTAAAAAAAAACAAGAACAATGATTATCATTTTAGATCGATTAAAAGTTATCTTCATGATAAAATTTGTATTCTAGTTACTCATCAAATTCAATTCTTACAAGATGCAACTAAAATTATTGTTCTTGATAATGTATGTTTTTTTGTTAAATTGAAATATCTTTTATTCACATTCTATTTATTTTATAGGGTGAAATGATACAAATGGGTACATATGCAGAATTACTTTCTACTTCAAAATCATTTGCTCGTCTCCTTGAGGATATTAATCAACATGAACAAGAATATGAAGAACAATCAAAAATTGATTTGATTAGTTCAATAAAAGATGATGAAGAAGATATAAAATTATTACCAACAAATATTGAAATAAAACAAGAAGGAATAGTGAAATGGAATGTTTATATATCATATCTTCGAGCTGGTATTGGTGGATTTTTAGGTTTTTTATTATTGTTAATTATATTCTCTATACAACAAGCAATATCTTTATCAAGTAATTGGTGGTTAGCAGAATGGAGTAATGATGAAAGTCATCGACATCGTCTTTATAATAATTGTACATATATAAATGATTTAAAAATTAATAAAATACGTTCAATGAATGACAATGAATGGAATGAACATCGAAATCGACGATTTTATATCTTTTGTGGTTAGTTAATTAAGACATGATTTTTTTTCAAGAATTAAAAGAATAGTGTAGCAATATATTCTAAAATATATAGAATAAAACAAATCTATACAGTTCATATTTTTTCTCTAGGTATTGTGGCTGTACTCTTTATAGTTACACTTTTACGAGTAGTCACGACAGAATTTATATGTTTAAATGCTGCACGAATATTACATAACAAGTAAGAGAATTAATTTAGAGAGATTTAATTTTTGTTTTAATATTTATTTTCTCATGATCAGAATGTTTCAACGACTTATTAGATTTCCAATACGTTTTTTTGATATTAATCCAGTTGGTATGTAAATTCTTTATTCAGAAATGTTTATATCAATTTATATCAACTAGCGAGAACCAGTGCATACTGCACTGCACCTTTTTTTAACGTACAACCTCAAACCTTTCACTCGGTAACAGACACACAGGCACTCGACATTATGTAGATAGAAGCCCTACGGTGTGATATCCTTATATCGCTAATAGCCCATGTAGCCTTATATGTCTTGTAGCTTTACCCCCTTATAGAGTTCCTCCCCTATAGTCTTATCCCCTTATTGCCACACTCCATTAGAGCCTTACCTACTTATTGCTTTACTCCTTTATAGCCTTACTCCTTATAGCCTTCTTGACCTTTAATATTAGAGCTTGGACAGAGAAACAGATACTGAACATTATATATATAGATTTACATTTGTTTTATCATTAGGTCGTATTCTTAATCGTTTTACAAAAGATATAGCTATTATGGATGATAATCTTCCATTGAATATGTTCGATTTTCTTCATGTAAATAATTTTTGAATTATTTTCATATTGAAAAAAAAAAATTTTTTCTTAATAGTGTTTATTTCAAGTTCTTGGTACTGTAACTTTAGTTGGAATACTCAATCCTTTAGCATTTATACCAGCTATAATGGCTGCCATTGCTATGTTAATTTTAAGATATCTATTTGCTCGATGTTTACGAGATCTTAAACGAATTGAAGGTATTACAAGAAGTCCTGTTTATTCACAATTAACATCAACTATTCATGGTCTTAAAGTTATACGATCATATCATGCTGAAAATGTATGTTCTAGTGAATTTCTTCATAATCTTAATGATAATACTCGTGTTAATTATTTATTAATTACAACAAATCGATGGGCTGCTATTCGTTTTGATTGGATTGCACTTGCTTTTATTGTTCTTGTTACATTACTTGCCATGATTGTACGTCTTATACAACGACAATTTTCAGCAGCAGATATTGCTCTTACACTTTCATATAGTCTTAATCTTATGGGTCTTCTACAATGGACTATTAGGTTTATTTGAAAAATGATGTAACTTTATAAAAATTCATTCTGTATATATATATATTTATTTTAGACAATCAGTTGAAGTTGAAACACAAATGACATCAGTCGAACGAATACTTGAATATTGTGCACTTGATCAAGAATCACCTGCACAAGTACCATCAAAATATCGTCCACCTACAAATTGGCCATCTCATGGTGAAATTATTTTTAATAATGTTAGCATGTCTCATTCAAATGAACCAGATGCATCTCTTGCTTTAAATAATATTTCATTAATTATACGAGCTAGTGAAAAAATAGGTATTGTTGGAAGAACAGGTGCTGGTAAAAGTTCATTTATTCAGACAATATTTCGAATGGGTATACTTATTAATGGACAAATTAAAATTGATAATATTGATATATCAACTATTGGATTAGATGATATTCGACGTCGAATTTCAATTATTCCACAAGATCCTGTTCTTTTTACTGGAACAATGAGAAGTAATCTTGATCAATTTGGTGATTATTCGGATGCTGAAATATGGCATGCACTTGAACAAGTTAGTTAATATTGATTTAAAAATTGTTTAATTTATTTATTAATTTAGGTACAACTTAAAAAATTAGTTAGTAATGTTATGCCTAATGGTCTTCATTCAAATGTTAGTGAAGGTGGTTCAAATTTAAGTGTTGGACAAAAACAATTAGTATGTTTAGCAAGAGCTATATTGAAACAGAGTAAAATACTTGTAATTGATGAAGCAACAGCTAATGTTGATAATACGTAAGTAAA